CTTCGACGCATGTATTCCGTTCGTCGGCGACCCTCTTCAGCAATCCTGCTTGCGGCGGCATTTCTTGTGACAGTGGTGGCGCTCTGCTCGTCGGGGTCGTCGCGCCGCTGCGACGGGGCCTAACTCTTCCTTCTCGAATTCTCTCCCTTGCGGCGTCCACGGCATCAGCCTTTTCCGCGGCTCGCCCTCGTTCAGGCCCCGATCTCCATCGGGTCGTCGCGCACCGCTAGCTCCACCATCAGCGCTGACGCGACCTCCTCTCTCAGGAGCTCGCACGCATTGAGACGGCTGCCGTTGCGGAACACGCGCCCCTGCGACCCCACGCGCTTTTTCAGCGCCGTCGTCGAGGCGCCGCGCTTCATCTGATCTGAAACTTGCGCGCCTGCCATCTCCTAGTACCGCGCGAAGCTCTCGTCGAGCTTCTTCACGCTCATCAGCACATGCTCTCTCGCCTCGACCTTGGCACCCGCCAGGTGGGTCAACGTCGCGAGCACGTTTCCAGCCTCCGCGCGGTCGTGCCCCTTCGTCACTAGCCCCCAGCACATCGCACCCTTGCCATGTGGACTGTTCCTCGCGATCGGCTCGGCGATCAAATCCTCCGGCAGGGCCCGGACCAAGGCGAAATATAGCTGCGTGCTCATTTCGTTATCCTGGGCACTGAACCTCACGTTATCCGCGGCCTCTGCGTCCTCTGCTCCATCCTCGATCTTCTCCATCAATGTCCGATACCATAGTTCCCGAGCAATGATACACGCTTTGTACTGGAACGAAACGTCTTCCACGAGGTGCGCCGGCCGTCGAACGGCTTGACTTTAAGAAGGGCCTTCGGGTCCAAGATTTTCTTGTGGTTCTTGCTTGCACGCTCCCGATCTCCGCGGCCTTGAATATGGCCTCCCATCTGTTCTAGTTACGTCTCGTTGTTGGAGATATGCCTGCATATGCTGAGTTGTCGCCGTCACCTGCCTCACGTGGTCCACTAAACTACCTGGCAAGTCTGCTCTTCCATCTGGCTGATCTTGACGGCGCAGGTGCTTCGCCAGCCGTTTCTGTACTGCAGTAACCTCGTCGGCACCGAATTGCGCTGCTTCTCCACAGCCTGCAAGCTTCCTCCACGCGGATTCGCAGTCTTCACGAGGCTCGGCCGCCCCCTTGCCGCGGCCGCCTCGCTCGCCGGCCTTCTTGCCGCGCCGAGGCGGGCCAGCTGCCGCCTCAAATGGCTGACCTGTCCACCCGGGGGATTCTGAGAGATTTGAAAATTCGTTTGGGGAACCCAGATGTTTGTTCCCTGCAGTCGATCATGGCGCGTTTCATGGTGGAATTCTCAGGGCTGTAGGTGCAGCATTCCGATCAAGACACTAAGAGGGAACCGACGTCATACAAAACCAAAACATACATGTTGCGAGTTTTCAAACTGAGTTGCGCGGAATCTTTATCCCCATAACCTAGCAATTGTTCATGAGTTGAGAGCTCTACTAGGGGGATACCTGTGAACCCTGCCCCTACCCCCCACGACTTCCGAGGGGGAGGGTGGGGTTCACTTTGTTCGGGAGCTCCCGAGCGAAGTGAACCCCACCCTCCCCTCAAAAATCGTGGGGGGTAGGGGTAGGGTTCACATGTGGCCCCCTGTCTACGAGGGTCGCCAGGGCTGCGGCCGTCCCCCCTCGGGCGCCGTCGCCGCGGGGCCCAGGCGCGGGAGCGCCCGCCGCACGGCCGCCCGCTATACAGCACTCCGCGGGCAAGGCGGGAGCTCGCTGGAGGCGCAGCGGCCCGCGGCCGAGCGAGTGCGGCTGCCTACCAAACCACCCCAACCCAACCCGAAGACCTGAACTTAACTCGAATTTCGGGTTGGGGGGGGTACGAGTTCCACGTGCTTTTTCGATGCTCTCCGACCCCCGCCCCCACTGGAAATGGAGGGTAAATCGCGGCCTTCAGGTTGGGTTGGGGTGGTTTGGTGGGCGGTGAAGTTCGGCTACCAGGCATCCCCCCTCGGCAGCAGGGCGGAGAAGGAAGGCCCGCATTTCTTGAACCGATCACAGTGCGACTTACCAGCCTCGAACGCATCCCTAGCGCTGAGATTGGCACGCCAAGAGGCGATGACGATCTTGGGGATGCGCCCTCAAAAAATAAGGGAATCCCTAAGATTGGCATCGTGATGAGGAGATGCCCAGCATAGGGATAGGGATATGTTCCAGGCTGGTAATACAGGTCAGCAGTTCCTCAGCTGAACGGTCTTGGTGATACCTCTTACCAGCAAACTCGCAAATAGAACAGCACAAAACCAGGATCGAGTGCAACCGTCGCCATACTGTACGCAACCCGTCCGCCCGAAATCGGCATTGCCGGCGCTGCATGGTTTGTTGGCTTTCGTCTCGGACACGCCTGTAGACGTCGGGCCAGTACAGTGGGGGCGTTGACCTAAGGAACTCTAAATAAGGAACGAGGCCCCTTTTTCCCATCAGTGAAAGTTCGATTCCCCATCGAAAACCGAGGGACAACCTAAGGCAAGCTGTCAAACAATCAAGGAACATGGAGCCCCTCCCCAACGAAAAGGGTTCCTTCTTCAGGGCCCCGGCTGTAATCAACGACTTGCTTCGTCGGTGGACAAACCTCCCTTTAGCAAACCTCGTTTTCGTGAAAGCGGCCTGGGACCGAAACCGGCGGACCTGGACCCGCAAAAATGACGGCCGCGACGCCCTCTCGCGAACCGAAAACGGCCACTTCCTTCATCGACGTGTCGGGGCAGGAGGTCTGTCCACCCCCGAATGCTTGACGAAGCCAGCCGTGCACCCCCTCGTGTGCCTCTGCGTGGATAGAGACCTTCTAGATAGGGTCGGAGTAGTTGGGGTCGGAGGATCGCGGCGCATCGGCGATACATCGGCGATGCATCCGCGACGTCGGCGTGGAGAAAATCGGGCTCCGCATCGAGCCGCATCGTCGATGCATCGGCGATGCGGCGCGATCCTCCGACCCCATCTACTCCGACCCCATCTGGGAGGCATCTGCGTGGAAGCGATCGCCACGGAGGGCCGCCGTTTGCCTCGACGGGGCCTCCCTCCGCCTCCCCCCCCCCCATCCGCGCGCGGAGGCCCCGGCCCCCACGTCCGGCGCGCCGCCCCCGCCCCCCCCCCTCCTCCTCCTCCTCCTCCTCCTCCTCCTCCTCCTCCTCCTCCTCCTCCTCCTCCTCCTCCTCCTCCTCCTCCCTCCTCCTCCTCCTCCTCCTCCTCCTCCTCCTCCTCCTCTCCCTCCTCCTCCTCCTCCTCTCCTCCTCCTCCTCCTCCTCCTCCTCCTCCTCCTCCTCCTCCTCCTCCTCCTCCTCCTCCTCCTCCTCCTCCTCCTCCTCCTCCTCCTCCTCCTCCTCCTCCTCCTCCTCCTCCTCCTCCTCCTCCTCCTCCTCCTCCTCCTCCTCCTCCTCCTCCTCCTCCTCCTCCTCCTCCTCCTCCTCCTCCTCCTCCCCTCGCCACCGGGGGGTGCGTCGCGCAGGCGTCCCCCGTGCGTCGCCCGCGCGCCGGCCGCCGAAGACGCCGAGGATCGGAGGGGGCGCGGAGGCTCCGCACGCCCCCGATGCTCGGCTCGGGTCGGGCATGTCCTCCTACTTTTTGGTCTGCGGGTCTTGGGCGTGGCTTAATGGGGGGGTCACAAATGGGGGGGTCAGAAAAGGTCCCCTTTCGTGCCCCTTTCGGGCCCCTCCAGAGCCCCAGGGGGCTCGTTTAGGTACCGTTTGGGTACCTTTTCGGGCCACCCTCGCCGCCCCCCCATGTATGACCCCCCCATAACGCGGCGCCCAAGGGTCGGGAGCGGGCCCCTTCCGGTCATGGGCTAAACGGGACGCGGGTAGCCCTAATTGGGGAGACAGGGCGCGGGCGGGCAGGGCCTCAGGCGGCTGGAGGGCTCAGAGAACAGGCGGTGAAAACATCATGTCCTCATACAGGCGGATTCGGGATGACGAGTTGAACATAGGCAAAAACATGTTTTTAATATATGTTTTTTTAATATATATATATATATATATATATATATATATATATATATATAAAGAAAAAACTAAAACACACACACACACACACACACACACACACACACACACATCGACACTGGACCATGTTCTACTATGCTTGAACACTCCCCCTGTAGAAGGACGTGCCCGACTTAATCCTCGGTGCGAGGCCCCACCTTCCAGGCCTGCCCCGCTGGGGAGACGGGGCGGCCGATCTCTCCGTCTCCGAACGCGCTGCGGCCTCGCGGGCGGTGGCAGAGTGGCTCCTTCTCTCCTAGCGGCGCGCACGAAGGGGGGATGGCGCGAGGGGGGAGGCCTTCGAAGAGCGCGCGGGGCCTTTGGGGAAGGCGGGCAGGGGCCTTCTCATCCGCGCCCGGAGGCTTCCCTCCTCCCCCTCCTCCTCCTCCTCCTCCCTCCTCCTCCCTCCTCCTCCTCCTCCCCCTCCTCACCCCCTCCCCCTCCCCCTCCCCTTCCCCTCCCCCTCCCCCTCCCCCTCTACGGTGAGCGCAATGGGTAAGGAACCCTTGGATAAGGAACCCTGGGTCTGGAAGCCAGTGGAACTCCAATCGAAGCATCGAAGCTTGACCGTGCACATCACAGCCGCCCTCGTTGGGTAAGGAGTCCTTCAGGGTCTGAGGCATCCTGGGCACGTTCCCTACAGAACCCCCCACCGTATACGAAGCCTTCGTATGAGTATCGTTTAACCGATACCCATCCCCAGCGGCGTGGCCTGGGCCCCACTGGCCGATCGGCCTTCTAGATGGGGATGTAGGTCGTTCCCTTCGGGTTTCGAGGGGTGTATCCCCAACTGCGGGGGGTAATTTGGTGGGGGTCTCGAAGGGGATGGAGATGGGGATGGGGGTCGGTTAAACGATGCTGATTCGTAGAAGCGTTTGGGCGTTTCTAGGACGGCCCCTGTGCCACCCGCCCTCGGGCGGCACAGGCGCACCGAGCACGCCAGGCGCGAAGCAGACCGGGCAGCAGCAGCGAAGAGAGGCCCTGGCTCCTGGCCCACCTTCACCAGCACCTTCTGCTTGCCCATGGCCTTGATCACCTGAGGGCCGGCTTGGGAGTGCGCTCCACTCGCTGGACTTCGGGCAACGGGGTTCCTGCAGGGGGTTCTAGGCTCTTCTCTTCCTCTGAGGCCAGAGCCCCTCGTACCAGCTTCCCCTCCTCCTCCTCCTCATCCTCCGCATCCTCCTCCTCCTCCTCCTCCTCCTCCTCCATTACTTCTTCCTTACATGTATGTTACCAGCGTGGACCCCAAGTTCTGTGTGCCTAGCAACACATGTTGTGCAATCGACGTGGTGCGATATAGATATATATATATATATATATATATATATATATATATATATATATAATATATATATTATATATATATATAATATGTCGTGCAATCTACGTTGTGCAATATGTGTTGTGCACGCTATGTTGTGCGATCTACGTTGTGCAATCGATATGATGCAATCTACATGATGCAATATGTATATCTGCATATATTAGTTCGATGCGGTGCACTCTATTTTGTGCGCACTAGGTGGTGCGATTTATGCAGTGCAACTCACCTTGCCGACCTTGAACTTGTCAACTCCACTGCTCGCGAAGTCATCCCCCCACCCACCCGCAACTTGGATTGCAAAACCATGCGGCGGCGATTGCGAGGACTGATTGGCGCTGGTTGGCGCATCGCTGCGGCCGCGCTAGCGCGCGCAAGCTCGCGCGCACAGCGGCCTGCCAGGATGGCGCGACCGACGCGGCCGCGGTGGCGCTGACCGCCGGGGATTTCCCGGCGCGTCTCGCAGGCCGCGCTGACGCGCGGGCACTTCACAGCGAGTCCGTATCTCGGGCGGGCGCGTTAACATGGTGACGTCGACAAGGCTGGATACGATGGTGATAATACAGATGATGGTTACACTGATGATGGTGACCACGGCAAGGCCAATGACAGCGCCGAGGCTGTCACGCCAATGACGATGATGGTGTCCACGTGTCGGTGATGAAGGTTGTGGATGACTTCGACGTGGACGCGCGGCCGACGCACGCGAATGGCCCGCATGGTAGTATTTGAAAGGGATCGCGTCCCCCATTCCAGCAAGCGCGCAAGGATGTCCGAATGATTTCGACATGCGCGCGCGAGAGCTCCGCGTGGTCCCACTTGACAACATGCTGAAAAACGATGGATGTCATAAGAACTCGCAAGAGCGCGCGCGCATACTTGTTTGAAAGATCACGTTGCGAAGCCATTGGTTCTTATGTGTCTTCCAGTATATCAATATTGACAGCTCTACGGATTCTACCGAATTTGAATGGATTTTTGAACATTGATGATTTGTGATAAACGGCTGTGCCCGCATGGCATTATTTGCCAGGGACGAGGAGGGTGATAACAGCACGCCCTGGGACGACATGAACTCTAAAATGAACGATGGGACATAACCAAGTGTAAACTTACACTCCGAAAGGGGTACCCATAATTCCCGGGGGGGAGAGCCGAAACTGACTTTAGAAAGCCAAATCTGTGCGGTGCAAACTATGTTGCGCGATCAATGTGGGGCAGTCCCTCTTGCGGCGGCGAAACGACAACGGGGCGGCGACTGCGAGCACATAGGTGGCAGGCCCAGGCGACGGGCGGCGACGAGGCGGCGACGGGGCGGCGACGGGGCGGCGACGGAGCGGCGACGGCGAGCACGAGCACGAAGCCGCTAGACCGCCAGCCAGGCCCAAACGACGGGCGGTGGCGACGCGGCGACGGGACGGCGACGGCGAGCACGGAGCCACCAGACCGCCAGCCAGGCCCAGTTCCTTCGAGGAAAAAAAAACCATAAGTGCAAGCACTGTTTGAGGAACTTCCCCCCTGTCGCACAGCCAAACGTGTCAGTAGGGCGCACTGGGCGTTGCGCCTGAAACGTCGAGGATGGAAGGCGGGTGGTTTTCAAAATGCTGCTCTCGCCTCCGTGCCGTGCACATTCGTCTTAAAAGTTCGCAGCATTTTCAAGGATGGAAGGGGTGTCGTTTTCAAAATGTGGTTCTCGACCTAGCGCCACGCACATTCGTCGTGAATTTCAAAAAATGGAGGGCGGTTCTGTTTCATAATGTTTGTGTCACCTGAGCGCCGCATACCTCAGTTTACGTTTGCTGCGGTGTCGAGGACTTAAGGACTCGTAAGGTTGTAGTCCCAAGCATGGCGTTCTGGCACAAAACGGGATTGTCAAGAAGCAACAGTCACGTTGACTCGTGGTGCTGAACCCCCAGAAAGGATGTCCTGGCACGATTCATGGCCGTCAGGACGTGACAGTCACGCTGATTCGCGGCATTGAGACCCCAAAAACTGCGTGTTGGCACGGTTGGGACTTTTTTGGACGGTTGTCCTTCGATAGGGGCACTTTTCTATGAAGAGGAACTGGGAGGGCGTGTATAACGACACCCTTGACGCGTCTTGGGTTTACACTGGTCCTCTCCCTCCTCCTCATCCTCCACCACCTCCTCCTCCTCCTCCTCTTCCTCCTCCTCCTCCTCCTCTTCCTCCTCATCCTCCTTTCTATTCCACTCTCGTCCCCCTCCCTGATGCGGCGCCCTCCTCCTCCTCCTCCTCCTCCTGCTCCTCCTCCTCATCGTCCTCCACTCGCCTTCTCTCTCTTCTCCCTCCCTGATGCGTCCTCCTCCTCATCCTCCGCCTCTTCATCCTCCTTCTTTTCCTCCTCCTCCTCCTCCTCCTCCTTCTCTTCCTCCTGATCCTCTTTCTCCTCCTCCTCCTCCTCTTCCTCCTCCTCCTTCCCGGCTCCTCTTCCATATATTCCGCGTTCATCTTCTTCCCGCCGCCTTCCTCCAAACCAACGGTCCGACATCCACCCCGAACGGTGGCCCCCTCAGTTCTGGAAGGTTTCCCCTCCATCCTGAGTAGCTCTGCAATGTCTTGAACCTCTGGGAGGAAGGAAAACGGAAGAGGCGTCAGGAAACATATGAGCACGCGGAGAGAGAGACAAAGAGGGGAAGAATGTTGAGTCCAGCCTGAGACGGCATTCACCCAACCCGCAGAAATGCCAGCCCCCACCACTGATTTGAAAAATCAACGACGGAGACGGAAGAGACTGCAATACCGCGCGCATGTGGTGCCGAAGGGAGGGCGTGGGAAGAGAAGGGTCAAGATGCACAGCAGCGATACACAGAGTGCCAAGCTTCCCTCGAAGGAGATTCGCGAGGCAGCGTTCGTGACACGACGCCACCTGACATGCACCCTGGAACTCAGGCCCTGAAACATTTGCGCATCGGCAAGGTAAAACGGAGCTCTAGGAGGTCCTGGAGGGTCTCATGGGTCTTCTAAAGAGCCAGGGTATGATGTCATGCTATCCCCAAAGCCGATTACAGTAGGAGCTCGACCACAAGAAACCTTCCACAAGCAACCCAACCCTGAGACCCCAGGACGACCATTGATTCTTGGTATAGGAAAGTCACGCTTTCCTTTCCGTAGCAAAACCATCGATACCCAAGAAACCCAGGGCACCCTGGAGGCAAGCAGGGTGTTTCTTGGCATGGGTCTCCACTGTATACAGATCCTGACCAGGCTCACACGGGGCCTCACCAGACGATTCCGAGGACAGAGACGACCCATAGGAGGAAAAGGAGGAACTGCTCGCAGCAGCGCGCAGTAAGAGCGAGGACAAGTGGAAGCCGCAATACAGGGCGCCGAAGGTGTGCAGGTGGAAGCCGCAGTCCTCGCGGAAGCGGGTGAAGAGCGCGCGGGGTAAAGGTCGAACCTGGCAGGGAGGTAGCCGAAGGAACGCCAGTCGGAGCATGATACTCACCTGCAACATGCTGGACACCCCAAGTCGGACATGAGGAAGGCAAACATCACACAGATGGCAGTCGCCATCTACATCTGGCCATTCGAGTTCAGCTGCTTGGAGAAGCTCCTGACCTTTGCTCGCCGTGAGGCCACAGATCCAAGAGGGCAGCCTCATTCTGCAAGAATCTCTCCGCATCAACATCATTCTTTTCACTGAGCAACAAATCGCCGATGTTCGTGCCGTCAGAATTCATTGACATCACCCTTGTGCTTGTCCGTCCACAGCGAAGACGCCTTGAGCTCAGTCAGAATCGGCTGTCATATTGTCGGGAACGTCTTGGGCTTCAAACGAAGTGAGAGAGGCCAATTACAGCGGCAACGCATTACCGTGGCCATCTTATGTTTGGCATCCGTCCAGTTGCTGTCGTCGTTGTTGAAGGGGGCTTAGAACTGCTGGGGCCGCGCGGCTCTTGGAAACTCGATGTTGTAGGTCTTGGCAACGCTCGGTGTCCTTGAGCAGAAGGGCGTCCTTGCGATTGATACGTCATAGGAGGAGGAGCACGTCGAAGCCAGGACTGCCCTGGGCCATGTGCCAATACACTTGGTACACATGTCATTGGAACTGACACCCCCACAGAATGGCGAGGGGTGAGGATGCAAGTAGCGACGTGCACGAAGACTAGTAGCTGCAACGCCCACCAGACTAACCGCAGAACCAATGGTTGACGACAAAACAGAGCCCGTCGTACTGAGCAACGCGCACGTGGCCTTGAAAAGGTCGATGTCTCGCGGCCCTGCCTCCTGTGCCTGCCGACACCACTTTTTGACCGAGTCCATGCCACGGACTACCGCATCCTGAGCCGCCTCGATTGAGTCGAGGTTGAGGCCTGTGTTCCCATGCGCGGCCTTGAGATGTCTAGTATGACCTTGAACTTCGTTGGGCGTGAACGTGAGCGACCTGCTAGTCTGCTTGAGCTACTTCGTTGACTACCTACCAGACCACCCCAACCCAACCCGAAGACCCAAGCTTCGGGTTGGGGGGGGTACGGGTTCCACATTTGTTTTTGTCGATGTTCCCCGAACCCCCCCCCACTGGAAATCGAGGGTAAATTTGGGCCTTCGGTTCGGGTTGGGGTGGCTTGGTGGACGCTGCTAGATCAAAGCGTTTTGACGAACGACAGGCTGCCGAGTGAGCGCGCCGCGCCCCGAGACTCCCGGATCGAGAACGTGAGCGCCGACGCCTCGGACTTGCCAAAGCGAGGGCGTGCCGAGCGGTCATCCGATCCCTCGCCACGATCCTTCTTTCAAGGAAGGACAGAACTCCCTTTAGTAAAACGTGGTTTTGTGAAAACGACCTCGGGCCCAAACCTCGCGGGCGCAAGCCTAGAAAATGACGGCCGCGGCGCCCTCTCGAGAACCGAAAACGGACAATTCACGAATCGACGTGTCAGGGCGGGGGTTCTGTCCACCCCCGATTCTTGGAGCGCGGAACCATTGCTGGCAGAAAGAACGCGGAATAGGACGTAACATACGCATCGAAACGGAAACTTAACCAAGACTGCGTACGCCTGCGCCCCGCGCGACCGCGTGAGTTCAACCAGAAACTTGAACGAGTATGTGTCCGCCTGCGCTCGACACGAAGATCGCCCTCTGCGACGAGCTGCCCGCTCCAATGGGACCTGTTCCCACATTGAGCCCAAATGGCCACGGAAAGGAAGAGGAGGAGGGGGAGGGAGAGGAAGAGGAGGAGGGAGAGGAGGAGGAGGAGGAGGGAGAGGAGGAGGAGGAGGAGGAGGAAGAGGAGGAAGTCGCCATTTGCGCGGACTCTCCCTCCCGCGCCCGACGAGGGGCCGCAGACCGCTACGAGCGACGACGAGCGCGGCGCCTGGCAGCGCGCCATGGCCGAGGAGCCCGCGACGCCCACCAACGACGCCCAGGCCGAGGCCGTGCCGAACATTCACACCAGCCTGCCCATCGTCTACGACTCCAGCTGCCCCTTCCTTTTGGTGCTTCGAGGACGGCCCTTGCAGATACAGCAACACGGGCTGCTACTCCGCGGCCCTGGCCATGACCGGCTTGGACCTGACGTGGTGCTACTTGCAGGGTGGTACCAACTGCAACCACCAGAACTCCACTGCAGTGGAGGCCAGTCCACCAGAAACCTTCCACAAGAAACCCGACCCTGAAACCCCAGAACGTCCACTGATTTTCGGTGTGGGAGCGTCGCGCTTTCCACAGCAAAACCAACGAAACCCAAGAAACCCTGGGCACCCTGGAGACAAGCAGGGTGTCTTATTTGGCATGGGTCTCCACTGTATGGAATGCGAGATGCGCAAGTTGTGCGAAGGGCGGCCTCAGGGCTGCAGCGCCTCCGCCGCCTTCGGCCAAGACGTCATGCTACGTGTCGGGCGGGCGGATCCAATAAGAACCAGCACCATGACTCCACCGCGTACCACATGGCTTCGTCACCGGCGTCTCAAATATGAGCAACTTTCCAGGAGCACCCCTAACTGGACGGTTTCGTCCCGAGGAGGGGAGGGCGAGGAGGAGGAGGAGGAGAAGGAGGAGGAGAGGAGGAGGAGGACGGGTCGCCTAAGCCCTTCGGAGAAACCCTCCACCCCTAACTTCACCGAGAAAGCCGCATCTCTCACGAAGGTGGACGGCCGGGTGTACACAGCGGTTAACCATTACTGGAACTCTACCCATGGACTGCGAGACGCGCAGGTTACGCTGACATCACGGAGTCAACATGAAGCGTGCTCCTTCGGGCGGCTCACTACAAAAGAGGGCCTCTTGCTGTTCTTTCCTCCTCCTCCTCCTGCTGCTGCTCGTCCCTTTTCATCTTTTAATTAAAAACTCTGAGACGGACAGACAGATGGACAGCGGCCCGTAGGGAAGCCGACGGTGCGGGTCCTTCTCCCTGGCAGTGCGCCGGGCCGGAAAATCGAGCAGCGTGGCGTGAAACATGTGCTGGGTGGAAAACTGGGGTACACTATTCTGAGACGTGCCGGGGGTCTGAGACCGTCTGCCCCGTCTCCGCCTCGGCAGTCGCGCCTCTCGCCCCTCGCGCGCCCTCTCTCTCTCTTTGTTCTCTTTTTGTTTTCTCTCTCTCTCTCTCTCTGTCAAGCCCAGTGCGCCCATGTCTTCACGCCGCCACCTTCGCCTTTGCCTTGGGGTCGATGGCCCGGGTGCTCAAGCCCATCACCTGCCCAGCCGTGGTCGTGTACGGGCCGTACGAGGACAAGACCTTGACCTCCGCCTCGTCGCCCCTCTTCTGCTTCATCCAATTCTTGGCGGCGGCCACGCGGCGCATCTCCTTCATGCGGTGCATCTTGTTGCGCACCACCTTGCGCCAGTAGGACCCGTCCTCGTTGGGCTGCACCACGGTGACGTCTTCGGAGTCGTCCCTGTAGAGGATGAGGGCGGAACCGCCCCACTCGTCGTCGATGACGGCGACGAGGCGGTCCTTGAGCTCGTCGCGGCTGACCACCATGCCCAAGGGCGCGAGCGTTGATGAGTCGTACTCGATGATCATGCCGTTGTGAACGCCCAGCACGGCGCCGTCCTTCATGTGCCACCAGCAGACTTGCTCCGGGTTCGACAAGTCCACCCCTGGGTTGATGGTGCCGTCTGGGAGCTCGACGTAGCAGCCGTCGTCCTCCTGGGGCACGTACGCCTTGAACCACTTGTCGTGATCGTAGTCCTCGCTCTGGTGGGCGTACGCGATGGTGGAGCACGAGTTGGAGCCGTCCATGTTGTTCTCGTCGATGATGCACTCGGCATACGTGATCGTCGCATCTAAGCGAATCTTGCCGCCCTTCGAGTGGTCGATTGTGCAGATCTCGAAGCCCTCGGCGTTGCCGCGGAGGAGCCTGGACTGCCGCCTGCCGTCACGCGTGGAGCGGGCGGTCATGACGGCGGTCTGTGCGAAAACGCAAGAGCCCCGATTGTTCCCGTCGGGGAAGGTGATCGAGTCCTGATAGTCGTGCGACAGGTGGAAGTGTCCGGAGAACCAAGCCTTGACGCAAGCGTTGTTTCGCACGACGTCGATGAATCTCTTGGAGTCCACGGAGTCGCAGTGGTTCAGCCAGCAGCACCCGTTGACGACGTGGCACTCCTGCAGCACGCGCAGGCCGGAGCCGATGATTGGCGCGTGCGAGAAGCAGAAGACCTGCCAGCCCTCGGAGTCGGGGTGCTTCGCGATGATGTCCTCGAACCACTCCAGCTGCTTCTTGTCGATGGAGACCTCGTGGGACGTGTACTGCGCCGTGCGGAATGCGGTGGACCCAAGCCCCACGAGGAGCGTCTTCTCCGCCACCTCGTGGCAGAACTGCGGCGTCTCCTTGCCCAAGATTCGCAAGTATGCCTCCAAGTTCTGCTCGTCGGTTCCGAACTCGTCGATGCCCTCGAGGTCGTGGTTGCCTCCCACGACGTCCCACTTGGCGCCGAAGCCGTCGAGGTACTCGCGCGCGAGGTTGAAGCAGTCCGTGGTGCCCGAGAAGAGCTGCTTCGTCTGGTTGCAGTCCTTCGACTCGCCGAGGTCGCCGAGCGAGACCACGAAGGGGCGAGGGGCCCCATTCAGGGCGGCCTTCACGTGATCGCGGCCCTCGTACGAGTGCTCAAGGTCGCGAGGGTCCAGGTGCAGGTCGCCCAGGATTCCAATCGTGAACGCGGACGGGTCATCCTCCGAGAGCTCCAGCAGCGGCGGGGGTGCGTCCTCCAGCGTCGGCACGGCGGCCGCCATGCGCAGCGGCTGCCGGGCCCTGCGCCTGCGACGGGCAGCCGCCTTTGCAGGAGAGCCCAGGATCGAATCGATAAGTCGGATCGGCGATCAACATGAATCGGATCAGTGGAAATCGGCAGCCAAGTCGGGAGAAGCCGAATCAGTGGAAATCGGCAGGCTAGTAAAGCCTCCATCGAGAGACTGAAATACGGATCGGGGTCCGAAGTCGAATCTGGGAAACCCAAAGGTACCGATACCGCTACTCCCCGGACCTCTCCTGGGTGCGTTCTGACCAGAATTTCGAGGCGAATCCAGCGATGGCGACGGGGGCCTCCCAGGAGGGCCAAAGAGGGGAAAACCAGGGAAGGGTAGCGGTATGGGTATCAGATTGGAATCGGAATCGATCGAAATCGATCGAATCGGGTCGGAGAAGTCAGAATGATCAGGAGCGGCAACACACATCTGTACCCGCGCCCCCGCAGTCTGCACTCCGGGGCGCGATCCCACGGATACGCGGTCGCACGGATACGTTGCGCGCGGGGCATGCGCGAAAAAACTCTCCGTATCCGCGGGGTCGCGGCCCAGGAGACTCGCCCGCAAGGCCACGGGTACGGATGTTTCTTGTTCACGAAATGAGCCCCGCCTTTGCCATTGCGCCGATCTTGCAGACGTGCTGCAGCGGATTTTGTGTGGATTTCTGTCAACGCAACACCCCGAAACGGCGAGCGAAAAACAAAGTGAATTTCACGTGGTCGTTTGTAGTCTTCATTCCTGGCCCAAAAAATCCGCACGGAATTCGCTTCGAAATCCGGAACGAAACTCTCCAGGACAATCCAGGCCCATCCCATTGTTTTCTGAACGAAAACCGCTCTGCGATGTTGGCGCCATGGCCTTTGCGCGATTCGCACCGAGGCTGCCGGCAAGCAGTGCAGCAGCGCCGGCGGCGCCCGCACCCGCGGCGGAGGCGGAGGTCGAGGCGGCGGGCGCGTGGGGCGCCAGCGCCCGCGCGGCGCCAAGGGGCGACGCGAGGCCGACCTCAAGGCGCTCAGGGGAGAACAAGTAGGCAGCCACACAGAATCCCCCATATGTGTTTCAAGCTTCGTGGGGATCAACCAGCCTCGGACTGATCCCTACCCCCAGGACAGGCCAGCCAAGAGGCGATGACGATCTCAGGGATGCGCCCCCAGGAACTGAGGGAGTCCCTACGATCGGCATCGAGACGAGGAGAGGCCGGGCATAGGGATAGGGCTGTGTTTCAGGCTGGTAAGGGATGCTCGTCTCCCGCTCCATGTCCCATATTTCCCCACATCTTCCGAGACATGGACGTTCGTTCGTGTCCGTATCCTTTGAAGGGGCCCTGGGACACACAAATAAATACACACAACTAAAAGGATTTCCCATATATTCCCATATTTTCTGGGTGTCTGTCTTCCCCCCCACTTCCCATATTTCCCCATATTTTCCTGGGAGTCAACGACTAATTGTGTCTGTGTGTTTCGTTTCCTCCTCCTGAATCCTTCGTTGCCCCCTCCTGAGACCTGCAGGGCCGGGGCCGCCGAAGTGGCGGTGGCAGCGGGCGGCACCCCGCTGGGCACGGAGAAGGCAAGCGGCGCCATGGCTGAGAGAGCTGCCCCACGTGCTTGAGCCCAGATGCTGCCCTAATTAACCAGCCTCGAACTTATCCCTATCCCTGAGATGGGCGAGCAAAAAGCGAGGACAATCTTAGGGATAGGCCCTCAGAAACTGAGGGAATCCTTAAGATCGGCATCGAGGTGAGGTGATGTCAAACATAGGGATAGGGATATGTTTCAAACTGGTAATTAATTATCCTTTGGAAACTTCCTCCCTTCCTCCTCGAGAGAAGTGCCTTCAGCGGCCAGATGGGACCCTTCACCCACCAGATGGGACCCTTCACCGGCTGACCGGCTAGCTGGCTGACTGGCTGCTATTGAGCCTCCCTGGGCATCATACGTCTTGTCAGGGATCGAGCCTCCTATTGAGCCTCCTATCGAGCCTCCCTTGGCCTCCTACGTTTTCTCAGGGATCGAGCCTCCTACGAATTCCTACGATTTACAATGGATCGAGCCTCCCTGGGCTCCTATATTTTCCCAGGGATCAAGCCTCCTATCAAGCCTCTCTGGGCCTCCTATCGAGCCGAAGGTCCCAAGACACCCTCCAGACGCGGGCATGATAATCACACCAGCCCTCTGGGCGTAGGTGGTCTTACGAATTGTTCCTTTCGTCTTCCGGAACCTCTCTTCCCTTCGGAGAGGGGTACCCTGCTTAGGTTTTGATGGGGTGTTCGCGAGCCGTCAGAGCGCCCAAGATGGCCCAAGATGACTCCAAGAGGGCCTCTGGTACTCCTAGATGGCCCCTAAGATGGCTCAAGATACCGAAGATGTTTCAAGACGGCTTCCGACAAGCCTCCAAGAGGCCCCAAGAGGACCACAAGACAGCTCCTAGTGCTCTCAGAGCCTCCGTTGGACTTCTCCAAGAGGCCAAAGTCCATTTAAAACATGATCCGTCCACGAAACCAGAAAGAGATTTTGAACTGCGAGGCATGGAAACGTTTCAAAACACCACTTTGGGCGATGGGCAGTGGCCAGGCTGAAGATATCCATGATGACGACACCGTGCCTGGGTTTATGCTGCGCTGCGCTGTGCCGTGCTGCGGCAGCACAAAAACGATGCTCAATTGAGGTCTACACGCAGGTGGTGCAACACAGAAGGTTCCATGTAAACGGTGCAAAATGGAGGGCTGCACGTAAATCACACAAGGTAGGAGATTGCAGGTAGATTGTACAAGGTTGCACGTAAACGGTGCGAAAGTGCGGGCTGCACGTAGACTATGACAAAGTAGAGGGTTCCACGTAAACTGTGCGGAGAGGGGACGTGACAGAGGAAGCGCAAGGGGACGTGGCGAGGGACACGCCAGGGGACGCGCCACAGAACGGGCAGGGGAAGCGCTTTCCCATTGCACGGGGAATGCTTCGCCTGGGAGGCTGCGACTCTAATCCGCCGCGCATCGTCTGCGGCGCGTTTCCACAGGCTCGCCCCCCGCCTCTGCCGCCCCTTGCGGCCCCCCTCCTTCCCCCATCCCCGCCCGGGAGCCTGGGGAGGGGCTCCGTGTTCCTTCATTGTTTCACAGTGTGCCTTCGGTGTTCCTCTGAAATCTTCGAAGGGGAATCGAAGTGTAACCTTTGGAAAAAAAGGGGTCTCGTTCCTTGTTTAGGGCTCCTCAGGTCAACGCCCCAACTGTAAATCGTCATCGTCAGGGGGCCGAGGCATCGACCGTCGGAAGTCGGTGGTCGTCGCGGCAGTCGTCGGACGGTCGGCGGTCGTCGGGCGAACGTGGGCGTCCATCCGAAGACAGGCTGGAGTTCGGACCTGGTGGACTGAAGCCTGTGAGGAGAATAGGAAGCTCGGCAAAGGGGTCACGGTGGACCACGGTGGGTGGACTGTCTGCCGCTTGGGCCTGGTGGCCGTCGCGGCTGTTGCCCCTCAAAGTCGGCGGACGGTCGTGAGTCGTCGTTCGGCTCAGGGGACACTCGTCGGGCGTCGGCGGAACGTCGTCGGTGCCAGCAGGTCGGCGGATGGTCGTCGGACGTCGTGGGGTCCGTTGGTAATGAGCGGACCCTCGTATTTGATATCCCTGGGAGTCGGCGGCCACTCACACGGAGTGTCACAGCGAGCTGCGTCAAGGGGGGTCACACGGAGGCTGGCTGAATTGTTGGCCTGACTGTCACAGTGGGCTGGCCCACAGGAAACCTTCGGACACTCGGCAAGAGGGTCGGAGCAAACAGTGGCGGGTGGCCTGGCTCCAGCGTGGGTCTGGTGGCCCTCCGGGCAGGCGCCTGTGGTGGCCATCGGACTTTCGGGGGGGAACTCCCCGTGGCCTGCGACGTCGGGGCCGGCCGCCTGGTGGCCCCCCTGCTCTGCGTGTGGAGGGGCTTCGGCTCGGGGAGTGTCTCAGAGGTCACGCGGGGCTTGTGGTAGGTCCTCCGAATGATCTTGTAGGTCTCCGCGCAGACCGCCGCAGAGAGGATGAGATACAGTCGGGGCGTTGACCTAAGGAACCCTAAATAAGGAACGAGGCCCCTGTTTTCCATAAGTTGAACTTCGATTTCCCATGCAAAAAACCTTAGGGAAACCCGCGGCAGACTGTACAACAATCAAGGAACACCGAGCCCCTCCCCAACGGAAAGCGTTCCTTCTTCAGGGCCCCGACTGTAGGTCCTCCGAAGGATCTCGTAGGTCTCCGCGCAGACCGCCGCAGAGAGGATGGGACAGCCGCCCTGGACGGCGGGGGGGCCTGGGAGTTCGGCGCGGAGGGCGCGGAGATCGCCGCGGAAAAACCGCGCGGAGATCGGCGCGGAGGGCGCGGAGCTCGCGCGCGGCGGGAGGCCATCGTGCAAATCGGCGGGCCCGCCGGGAGGATCGAGGGCTGACTACCTACCAGACCACCCCAACCCAACCCGAAGACCCGAATTTCGGGTTGGGGGGGGCAAGGGTTCCACATGTGTTTTCTCGATGTTTCCCGACCCCCCCCCCCCACTGGAAATCGAGGATAAATCTGAGCCTTCGAGTTGGGTTGGGGTGGTTTGGTGGGTGGTGAAGGGCAGGTGGGCGAGGAAGAGCCTGGTCGCCAGGCGCGGGGGCTCGGAAGAGCAGCTCTCGTGCTGGACGGGTCGCACGCCCGCAGCGCGGGGCGCGCTCGCCGAAGTGGGGGGGGGGGCCACGCAGCGTGGCACACGGCAGCTGCCGCCCTCAGGAGCCGAGCACGCCCGGGCCCTGAAGAGGTCGCAGGATCCGAAGAGGACCAGGTGGGGTCGGCCAGCGCTGCGATCCTGATGTAAAGGGCAGAGAATCCACCCCGATAGTAACCACCCCGACACGCGAAGCCGTTTAGCAAAAGCGCCCAAAGAAGGAATCGAAGAGGGCAGGGCTGTTTAGTAAACGGCCAGGGCCATTTAGTAAACGCCAGTTGTCCGGTCCAGGTGGTTGTTCCTCCCTTGATGGTAGACCTTTCGAACTGCCGTGCCGCTGGTATACGTGCGGTCTCGCTGGGCTTCGCGCCGAGCTTTGCCCTGGTGGGTGTGCCAGTAAGGTTTGGCGGAGGCTGCAGCGGTCTAAACCTAGGTTTAGGTCAAGCATGTCCCCCTACAGGCGGATTTTTGAGCGAAAAATTAAAATATACCCAAAATATACCCCAAAAAATATTCAAACATAGTCAAAGAATCGTCCCCTGACTATTTTTTACTAGTTTTGAATATCCCTTCGGTAGTGGGACAGGCCCGACTTACTCTTAGGCCCTCTGGTGGCAACTGTCCTTTTTCCGAGGTAGCGGGCGGATAGATGACCGCGGGGTTCCAGAGATCTTCCGTCGGCGCCGCTGTCGCTGATGTTCCTGTTGGCATCGGAGGTTCACACTGAATAACTGGCACGGGTTTGCTATGGATATTACTCGTATGTGAGGTCCCGTGATCGGCCCTGTGGCGCAAAGGCATCATGGGGACGTCCCAGTTTGGTGCATCACTGCTGATGTGAAGAGCAGTGGCTTCGACGGTGGTACCTGCAGGTGCGGTGACACGGTTTGTGGCCTCTTTGCGCGTATGGGGATAGTACAGCTTGATTTGGTTGATTTTCTTCTCGCACAGTTTCATCAGTTCTTACGCTGGTCGGAGCGGCGTTGCGAGCATATGTTCTCAAAGTCCTCTTGATGCTTGAGCAATTTCGGTATAAGCAGCGATTGCTCGGTCGACGCCACCACTGCTGTGGAGTGCGGCGACGCAGGCTTCCTTTCGGCTGAAGCTAGTGTCCTGCCGATCCGTTAGGGTTGCCCTTGGGCGGCCCTTGCCTGGTGGCTTGGGCTGCGGCGGGATACGACGCGAACGGCGAGGGCTCTCTGGAAAAGTTGCGGCGCGCGCGGGAACATGTACACGTCGGTCGGAAGAAGTAGGTAGAAACATGAAGTAGGAAGGCGGATACAGTAGATTGGGTCCAGGATCTCCCAGAGAATAACAAAACACAGCAAAAGCGTGTCGATTCCTGAGGTAGGAAGGCGCTTGAAGTAGATTGGGATCTGGGAATCCAAAAATACCTACTTTCAGCGACAGGCGTGTGGGAGAACGTGACACGAACCAGTCCTGTGGTAACGGCCACGGGTCCAGTCCCGCCATCACATGTGTAGAGAACGCTGGGAGCTCCGTGTCTTGCCTGCGCCCTGGGTCCTGAGTTCCTCGAGCCGAGACTGGAGAGAGGGAGAGGAGGAGGAGGCAGGGGGAGGGAGGGAGGGAGGGAGGATGGAGGGAGGAAGAGGAGAAGAGGAGGAAGAGGAGGAAGAGGAGGAAGAGGAGGGGAGGGAGGGAGGGACGGTGGGAGAGACGGAGGGAGGGACGGAGGAGGAAGTAGGGTGCGCATCATGGACAAGGGCGAGGCCGTGTCGCCTCGCCGCAATTCGAGGCGGGCTCCAGCAGCATGTGCAGCTCCTCGCGCAG